GGATTTCTCCTTCTGCCTGGCTCCTGAGCTAGTGGGGACGCTGTCTGCTCTGTGGTACAGAGTCCTGATGACTCCTAACTTGTGCTCCAAAGGGTGATGGGAGTCAAACTGCAAATACTGGTCTGTGTGGGTGGGCCACACAGACCAGTATTTGCAGTTTTGGGTATTTGGGTTTTGGAATCCATCCAGTAGACCTGACTTAACTTTGTTAGATTTTTCTACCTGGAATATTGAACATGCATAATAATAATAATAATAATAATAATAATAATAATAATTGTTTTTTCTCTCATTTAAACTGATTTCCACCTAATCCAATTTTTTGACTGACAAGTTATTAACAAAGAATGAATCTGGAAACAGCTGATTTCGTTTTTTAATGTAATTGTTTTTACTTTTAACACACTTATCTAAATCGTCAACATATGCTATAGCTAGACACAAGACCAGAATCCGGAAGTTGAAGTCACAGAAAATAAACACCCTCAGTGGCTAAATAGCACCATTTCTTAGTCCCGCCCCTTTATGTGTGGGTATGTAGGCGGGACTTTCTTATTGAGGGTACACCTTCACATCCTTTGTGCATGGCTCCAAATATACAACGCTCACTGACCTGATGCTCAGCTCGTTTCTCTCTGCGTCCGATCGGCTCTGAAAGTTCATCATCTCCACCACTCGATCCCGAAGCTGCTGCTCCAGCTGAACCCTCAGGGCCTTTTCCCGCTCCAGAGCCAGAGCAGCACCTCCCGTCCGCTCGTCCAGAGCAGCCGACAGGCTAGCGCAGGACACTTGGGCTGAGTGGGACATCCGGGCCAGATCGTTACGCATGTCCGACAAGTCCCTGAGACGGGAGAGACACAGACAGGCATGAAAGATGAAACAAGAAGCAGATTGTTTCATGGACCAACGTCCTGTTTGGGGATCTCTACCTTTCGGTGGCACTCTTCATCTCACAGACGTGCCTCCTGAACCCGACCACCTGCCGCCACAGCATCAGCATCCGACTGTGCTCGCTGCTGAAGTAGCTGTGGAAAGACTGATGGAGAGGCAAAAACATCAAGATTAATTTCTCCAAAAGGCGTGCCACTGTCTGAGCAGCATCCCTCACCTCCTCTTCTCTCCTCCAGTCCGACTCCTTTTGCTCCAGCTCCTCTCTGGCTTTCGTCCAATCAGCAGTGAGCCTGCGGATGTCCCGGCTGAGAGCCTCGTTGGCCAGACCAGCCTGCTCCAGCTGCTCTCTCAGCATCGCGTTCACCGCAGACAAGCTGCTGCTCCTAAAAACAGCAAGAAGATTAAAAACACTTTTACAAACTAAAATCTGATTTAGTCAAACACAGCTCCAAAGATAGCGTCCGTTGTATCATTTAGAATTGTTTGAAGTAAAGCTCTCATTGTGGCTGTTCATCTCTGTAACCAGGTCTCATCTGTTTTTATGGATAAATCTGGACTTTTTCCATTTAAAAATAAATAAATAAAAATTAAAAACTAGCATTCATTAAAGAAAAACCTATCACATGCCAACAAATATCTTGAGCGATCACTTAGTTCTCTTAATAATGTGTGGGGATTACTTTCAGCTACTTAATCACCAAATTTTAGCTAGGCATCTATAAAGCTGAAGATTTTAGCCACTTTTGTGTTAGTTAGGGCTAATTAGCTGTGGCGGCCATCTTGAATCAATATGATTCCAAAAGGTAATCAGATGTAGATGTGCATCCAATAATCACTTTGAGAGTTTCATTAAAATTATTCCAGTGGTTCATAAGATTTTTTGCTAACAGATGACATGATGGGCAGCCCTTCAGTGTGACGGACATGAATAAACTCTACATCTAAATCTCTCGACAGGATAAAATGCGTTTTTTTAATTTAAGATTTAATTCCAACCTGAGAGTAAAGATCCCTGTATCAAGCTTGAATGTTTAGAAATAAAAAAGTTAAACATTTGTGGCTCCACTGAATCAAAAACTTGACCGAGGGGAAACTGTGAGGTCCAAAACAAAATTTGAGCTAATAGTCATTTTATCGGAATGCTTCAGAAAATGTCTTAATTATTTCTTCAGTTTCAACAAACGGGCTGTCCAAGTGCATTGTGGGTACTGTAGTCATCAGAAAAGAAACATTTAAATTGAAGATAAAAAAAAGTTATGCATCTAGTTTTACTGCAGTGACTTGTGATTGAGCAGCAGCAGTTTGATCCCTGCTGATCTCAGAGCAGTTGAGGAACAAATGAAGTAAATCCCGTCCAAGATTTTAAATTTATTGCAGCTATTGTGAACAAACGTGTCAAATGAAAACCAGAAACGCGTTGATTCAGGAAATCTGAGTGTTGGACGTGTGCAGTGGTTTGGGTGATGATGACGAGGCACCTCTGCTGTTCTTCCTCCAGACGGATTAAAGCCTCCTCCAGGTTGCTGCTCGCTTCATCTGTATGACGACCGTTTGACGTTTCACTGCCGCCCTGAAAGAAAAGTTTTATTTTACAGCAACGTTTGGCTTGAATAAAAGTAAAAATCACATTTTATCCTGTTGACTCTAAGTTAAAAGCAACCTACATCCACACTGCGCTTCTCCAGCTCCACAGATTTCTCCTGCAGCATCTGCTCCAGATCCCCACATTTCTTTTTGTATTGAAGCACCTGAAGCAGCAGGAAAACTGTCACCGACCGTCACGACTCGCAGCGACTGCACGAAACTAATCCCCTCGTACCTTGGCCTGGAGCTTCTGCACGAGCTGCGCCTGCCTCAGCTGTCCCTCTTGGTACGCGGTGAGTTTGCGCTTGTAGGCGGCTTGTTCCTCGTCCAGCCGTCTGCGCAGATCCACGTTCTGCTGGGCGAGGCTGCGGCACTCGGCTGAATCCTGGTCGGCCTCTCCCGTTTCAAACCGTAGCGCCTGCTCCAGCTAAAAAAAGAAAGACAGAAAGGATGATTTGAATTTTGAAACAACACATCTAATCAAAACAGTTCTGCAATTGTCCAACTAAATGTATGAAACTACCTTCGAGTTTCCACAAAGCCTTTTCATTTTTCCTACCTGCTAATGGAGCGAGCTGTGGATTTAACTCCCTTTAAACACAATAAATCAAGTAACTGTAGAGTATGTTGATTTAAACATCTACCAGACATTTGAAATGACAAAAAAAACATTTTTTTTATGAAATCAAGAAAGAGAAGATCAACTTTCTGTAACTCATAAGTCGAGCTGTATCCAATCTGTTGATTTATTTTGAGTTCATGTGGAATTAAAACTTAGCAATCCATAAAAAATGCACATTTGTCTGCCTTCCATGCCAAAATAAAAATTTAAAAATATGTTGCACATAATAAACGTTGCATATTAGCACATGGTGGTATTAGCATATATTGGGGTTGACTATCAGTGACTACCACAACAAATTTGAGCTCAATATCTTTTTTTTTCCTCACTGGCTCTGTAACGAGGCGCACGCATTTCTTCCCTCTCCCTGTTTTCCTCCTGCTATTTTGCTCTCTGTCCGTGTATCGGAGCAGCTCCTGTTTTTACACATCTTCCGAAATTAAAACTACTGTTTTGGATCTGACCACCTGGACTTTCGACGCAAATGACAACATCTTTTCAACAAAGCGACAGGGTCCTGGAGAACCCTCATCTGCTCGGATGACAAGCATGCAGCTGGATATATCTCTGGGGAAGTGGATGTGATGTGTCTACCTCTGCTGTCGATCCAGGAAGCCGAAATGCATATAAATGGATTTATGATAACAGGTTTCCTGTTTTTGGAATAGTCTGTATCCTGGTTTATCAACATACAAAGAAGATGGCCGCAGCTAATTTGGCCCTCATCAGGCTATGTGAAGATTTGGTTTGTGCTTTGAGGACTCAAAATCAGCTGATTTACGAGCTAAACCGTAAGTTGGAAGTGATTTGAATCACAGGCCACCTGCGTCTTTGGACTCGTCAGCATGAAACGACCTTGAAGGGGCTCGTAAGCACAGACCAGTAGAATGCACCCTAATCTGGCCATTTCAGACCTTGGAAGTATCAGTACAGACTCAAGGCTGACAAGGAAAAATAGTCTGCCTGAATAAATCAACAATTGTGGGTTATCTGAATCTGATTCTCTGGTTGGCCTCAAAACAGGCCGACTTATCAGTTTCTCCTGGGAAATGTGTAAACTAAGGAAAAGCTTTGTCTATCGCGCACCCCCCACCTTCTGTGGAGGCTTATCAGAAATGTGCCGGCTGACCGTCATCTTATCAGGACATCATGGACCGCCTCGTCGTCAAATGCATATGTAACATGTTCATAAATGTGCTTTAACTGGCAGAGTTTTTGGATGTCTTAAATTGTGTCCTGTTAGGACAAGGTGTGAAGAGATTTTTTTGTAATGCCACTGCCCTCTGCTCATGGCTTTGTCCCTTTTTCTATCTAAAAAATATATATTCTGAAAAGGATAAGAGGCTGCGCTATATAGCAGCAGTTACGTGCACTCCGTCCATCTTTCGGACGACTGTATGGACATATTCTCGTTGTATCTCGGTGCAATGATAATAAAGCTTATTCTGATTATGATTTGTGTGTATGGGGGGGGGGGGCACAGTGAGCTAACTCGCACGAGAATTGTTTTTACATGATGCCCTTCCTGACGCAACCACTGATCTACCACAGCCCACAAGAGTGGTGCAGTGGGCTGCCATCTAGAGTTTTAGGGGGAGCAGATGGTGGGGGTAAGGGCCTTGCTCAAGGGCAAATGAAGTTGGAGGCAGATGTGGGTGCTTCACCTTTCCCACCCACATTTTGATGCAATGGTCAGGGGATACAAACTGAAGGCCTTCACTCAGTATTAACCTCTGCACCACCACTGCCCCTTTTAGCTGAATTAATCTAATAATCTGTATTTCTAAGGGTTTCATTAAAATCTGTCTTCTGGTTCAAGAAGTATTTTGCTAACAGGTACACAGAGAGCCAGGTTTTCTCAAGACTGCCACTTGCAACAACAAAAAAAAAACTTTTCCAAAAATCCTTCCTAAAAGTTGTCAGACATGAGATTAGACAAGCAGCAGACGGATTAAAAGTTTTATCTTAAGGACACTTGAACTGCAGCAGAGTTGCCGTTTGCCTTTGGATGCAGGTTTGTGTCGTTGCTTTGGTAACGTTAAACCGTAAAACAAGTTGGGGGGTGGGGGATATACACCCTCCACCCACCACATCCCTCCTCTCCAGCTGAAGCCCCTGTTTACAGTCACCCATAGCAACCGACGTCATGGCAACATTCCACTTCAGCTCATTCCAGTGCCCATCACCGGGGAGACTCGCGGATCTCAGGCAAAGACAGAAAACAAAGAGACCCCCCCCCCCCCCACAAACGTTCTTGTCTAATGTCCATGCAGCCAGAACACCTGGAGACAGATTTTTAATCCCAACACATCACGACCGCTCACCCTCTCACTGATCGCCCCGTACTTGATGGCGAGCTCATCTCGGTCGGCTCGGCTGTGCGCCAGCAGGTCCTCCAGCCGGGCCAGCTCCCCCTGCAGAACCTGGTTCTCCTCCTGGACGGACAGAACCGAGGAGGACATGGCCCCAGCTGCTTGCAGAAACCAAAAGTAGTGATCAGACAGGAAGCAAGGACGAGGCGACAACCCAGAAGAGAAGAGGACGCTCACCGCTGTCGTTGAGGTTCTTTGTAACGATCTCTCGCACTCGTGCAGGCAGACATGCAGGGGGGGCATCAGGTGAGGGGCCCCGAACCGTCAGCCTCTTCTCCTCAGACAGGACGCTCTCCTCCAGCCGCTGATGAAAACAAACAAAACACGTTTACAGAGAATTTGAGAACATTCAGTGACGTTTAAGATCATCTTTTGGAAAAAATAAGAAACTTCGAGATGATCGGATGCAGAAGATACAAGTGGCGCCACGACATCCAGAGTATACTGCAGCGTCATGAAAAGCACAAGTGTGAACATGCATGATCAGCTTCATCCATCACACCTGCACCTGGTGGGCTGGAGGAGCTGCGGAGCCTCACCTGGATCACAGACTCCAGCTTGTTGGAGTCGCTGTCTGCCGCCGCCTCGGCACTCATGGCGACTATTTCGTAAATCCTTAGGGAAAATAGGATTACCTCTGAGGCAATCGAATGTCTTCACAAGCTGAACCACATCTTTATTTTGAATCTACGTCCAGCAGATGGAAAAATAAACTAGTTCACAGAGTTGATCTAAATGTTTGTTGCTTCGTGTGTCGAAGGAAAGTTTCTGGTTACAGAGGAGCTGAGTGTCCGTCCTGCCGCCTCCTCTGGGACACTGAGATTGAGGACAGCAGGATTAGCAGGTTTTAAAGAGCACCCCTCCTCCTCCTCCTTCTCCTTCTCCTCCTCCTCCTCCTCCTCCAACACTATATGACACTCAACAGCCACACATGAAAACCTCCACAAACCACTGATATTCAGCTGCTCAACAGATAGAAGCTGAAATCATACAGGAGATAAAATATCTCAACGTGAAGTTATTGACCTGACGGAGACTTTTTAAGGACTTTAATGATAAAATATAACAAGGTTAAGTCAGGTCATCTGGACGTAACTGGTCATAACTTGAAGAATCCATCCAGATGACCTGACTTAACCTTGTTATATTGTAGATTTTTCTACCTGGATTATTGAGCAACATCAGGACATTTTAATGATAAAAGTAAAAAAAAAATACAATGAATCAAGTATGCCATACAGATTACCGTGTTTTTCGGACTTTAAGGCGCACTTAAAACCTTTTAATTTTCTCAAAAATTGACAGTGAGACTTATAATCAGGTGCACCTTCTGTTAGGCCTGTCACGATAACAAATTTTGCTGGGCGATTAATTGTCTCAGAAATTATTGTGATTAACGATAACATTGTTTGAAATTTGACAATAATTAGTCATTATTGTCAAATTTAAGAAGAAATTTTTAATTTTTTTTGCATGTAATACATTTTTTTGACCACTGGATGGCAGTATAAGACTGTTTGAACAGAAGGATGGATAGTGAGGGAGAGAGCAACGTGTCCCTTTAAGAAAAATGTGAGGGAGGCCCCTTGATGTGACATGGGCTGTCTCTCTGCGGTTCTCAAAATAGCGGATGCTCGTGTGATTTGAGCTCTTTAGCATAGCATTTTTCACACAAAGCTTTTAATAAAAAATAATAAAAAAAATCAGTAAACAAGTTCTCAGCTTCCTTTTGCCAAGAAAAACAACTTTTTACATGAAGGCACAGGTTTCAACTGTGAATTTTGGAGCTTTGACAAGACAGAGGGTTTTTTCCAGAGGTCGGCCTGTTAGCTTAGCTCGTAGCTTAGCTTCTCAGCTTAGCTGCTTTTAACGATCCAAAAATGTGATTTTTGACGGTTAAAACAGATTTTAAAGAGAAAAGAGAAAGGGAGGGGTCAGTGAAGAGCAGAGTTGAGCGTTTTATCATCCAGTGTCTTCAGTAGAAAGAGAGACATGACGAAATGATAAAGCCGATAAATGAAAATGAGGTCAATAATTTTCATTTATTATGTGATTAATTGATTTTTTGTTTATTGCGACAGGCCTAGCTTATGTATAAATTCTGGTTGTGCTTACTGACCTCGAACCAATTTTATGTGGTTATTGTGAATGAGTTGAATAAAGTTGGACTTATCTGACTGTTTTGTTTCGCTTAATGTGTCTTATAATTCGGTGCACCTTATAGTCCAAAAAATACGGTAGACTAAAAAATATTGTAAAATAGATCATTTGATCTCATTTATTCAAAATCCACCACGTTCAGACAATATTGCATCTTATATAGTTGTTTTTTTATACAGAAAATAAAATGTGTTATTTATATCCTAAGCTCTGTTGCGTAAGAGATACTGATTTTAAATTAATATTTATGTTTTATATCATTAAATTTTTTCAACTACAAGAAAACATTTTTTAAGACAGATTGCATAAGAATTTATTTTTAAAGGGGGGAAAAAAATCACTTCTAGGCAAAAAGTGTTCCTTCCAACATTACATGAAATTAAAGGTGTTCTTTGTCAGAAACAAATGTCCTAAATCTAATAATTAAATGGAAATAACTTTGGCTTATGGCTGGATAAAAGACTTGAAAGTCCAGAACCGAGATGCCTAAAGCGTTTTTGTAAAACGAATTGCATTCTTGTTAGATCTTGTGTTTTTAACGATTTATTTTGTGTATTTAAACTTTTGATTCAGTTCTTTAATTTATTTTTATTTTTGCTCGCTGCCAAAAGCAAAACAGTAATAATGTTTTAACCCATTTTTTATTTTGCCATTGCCTGCTGGAGTCAATGATTTCTATCTGTTAGCAAAATATCTAATGAATCAATAGGTGGACTCAAATAAAAACATTTTAAAAAAGTTACTGAATGAACATCTACAACTGAGTAACTTTGAAAGTCAAAATCCATTTTAAGATGGCCGCCTCAGTAAATACATAATCAGCTATAATTCAGCTAATTTATCAGATTTTGAGCTAAAGTTTTGATTGTTGAGAGTAATTCACAACACACACTGAGTGTTACACATTATAAAATACTGAAGGTTTTTAATGAGCAGCTTTTAAAGACTCTCCTGCGTTTATATCTGGCTGGGTGAACGATATCAAAGATAACTTTATTTACATTCATCAACAAAGATTGAGATCAATTTAAAACTTTTTATTTGGTAAACAAAGACGTTTCCCACATATTAGTTCTTATACAAACACGACTTAGGCTCAGTTCGGTTTTCTAAAATGAGGACACAAAGATTAAACAGGTCTGAATGCTCATAAAAACACAAAAGGATCATTGTGTTCAACCACAGACCCTCCCATATGCAGACATTCCCACAGCCCCTATCTAAATTAAATATTTGTCTGTTTAAAATATTGCTTTAAAAGTCAAAATGTTCTTAACTTACTGAAATTACATTAAAAACTGGTTATGGCTGTGACAAAAGGGCATGTATAACCTGAACACATGAAAATAAATCAGGTCAATGTGCATTAGGTTGGACAGAAGACCTAAAGAAATTAATACATGAAGAAAAATATACATTATTGTTCAAAAACAACTCAATTATTGGTCATTTATTGTGACTTTGCTACAAGTTATGCTAAAATATAATGTATGCAGCGCCCCCTGCTGGTCAGCGTGTGCAATTATTGGTTTATGGAGACGAGTCTTTTATGACTTTTTTCTTTCATTCACATAAACTCCTCTAAAACAGCTTATTTATACTTCATAAAATTATTTTCCATCCTCCCCCAATCACAGAAGTTCAAATGAACTGCTTCTTTAGTTTAAAGGCTTTTATCATTTTTTAAATATTGTTATTGCACAAAAAGGAAGAAGGCTGACGAATCAGCTCCAACATCCTCTTTATCCTAAAAGCGACAGAAACAACCAGAAAGAGGACAAGTTTGAAAAAAGTTTAAATCTCTGCAGCGTCAAAGAGACAAATAATTACACTTTTCAGTCAGATCCAGACCTTCTTTTTGTTAAATAATGATTAAAAACGAGGACCAGGGCTGCTGAGGAGGCAGCTTCAGAGCTGAAGATAAAAACTGTGCATCTTTTGTCTGTGTCGCGTTTTTTTGCAGAAACATCCGCCTTTCTGCGTGAAACTCAAGCTCACCTCGTGTCCTCTCTCTGCACAGGGTTCCTCTGTTCTCCATTTTATCTCCTGCGGATCCTCTTCTGTAAAGAAACGTCCATAAAACGGCTCCGAGGCGGAGGGCGGCTCTCTGGAGCCTCGCTCCGAGAGCTTTTTCCGGGGAGGGACTTCCAGTTCAAACATCACATCACTCACATCTTCTGTCCACAAGAAATCTTTTATTTTACACAAATGAACGGGGCTCTTAAACATATATATAAGTTGATCAAAATATGAAGCCATCTAAACACCTATTTTTCTCTTCTTTTTTTGTTGTTGGTTGTGTCAGTGAAGCAGAAAGCTGCAAGAAAAAACAGTGCAGGATCAGTAAAGCCATCACCCACTTTATTTAATTAATCACAAAAGCTCAGAAAAGAAAACCCACAAAACTGTCGGGGGATTGTCAGGATGTGCAGCAAAACTGCTGGTATAGCCACCACAAGGTGAGGTCAGTGATAAGGCCAGGCTGAATCTGGCAGATCCTGATCATCCACTCCATAGTGACTTCAGGTTTCTTCCATCTGGATGCAGGTATCTGCTGCCCAGATGTAGGACGAGCAGACTGAAAAACTCATTCATCCCTGTAGCGATCAGGCTCCTCTACGAACAGTGATTGTTTCTGTACTGTTATTTTAATATCTCAATGTCTTGTATAGTACATAATACATGTCTCTGTGTGAGTGCAGCTACAGCGTGCGCTCTCAGGACATTATTACCTGCAGTGTTCCCTCAGTGTGGACTGAACTAGGCAAAATGGCCTTCTCCTACTCCGCTCCCGTTTCCTGGAATATCTTACAAAAAGATGTGAAGCTCTCGACCTTGACCTAAGTGGCTTTAAGAATCTGTTGCACTCCTGGCAGGACCAATGCAGACATGTTCGTTTTTAGTTTTCTACATTCACCTTAGAATCTAGCTGTTTGTGTTACTTTTCTTTTTTTTTAGCCATTCTATTTGTAAAAAAAAAAAAAAAAAAAAAATCTGTATGCCTTTTTATAACTGTTTATTGTTGTTGTCATCATTCTTTGTTGAAATCAGGTCTCTCTTGTAAATGAGTCCTCGAGGCTCAATGGGATTTACCTGTAGAAATAAAGGTTGAATGAATAGTGTGGATGTTTTGTGTGTCTACTGACTGTGAAACAAATTACTTCTTGGAGATAAAGATTCTTGAACTTGAATTCCACTCATCATGGGCATGAACGTGATTTTTTTTTATTTTTGGAATTTTAATGATCTGAGACATATAAACAACTCCAGTGACATAAAAACAAGAAATGGATTTATCCCATCACCTCTTTAAGAGAGCAGTGCTAAAGTTCAGGCTGTCATTAGTGACCATGACTGACTGCATCAAACAGATTTTCTCTCTCTGATTTGTACTCAATGGGTTGAAAATTGTGACCCATGCTGACAAAATGACAGTAGTCAGAACAGGTTGCAGTGCAAAATAAAGTGAAAATAATTAAGATTTGTAAAAAAAAAAGGAGTCTAAAAACACCTAGTGATCCCAGTAACTATTCATTCTTCCTAATTTATCTTTAAAGTTTTCTAACAATTATGTCCTTGTTAAAATTAAAATCCTGTTTCATTGGAAACTGAATATTTTTCTCTAGCAGCTGCCAGGAAATCCCTTCGTATAGTGTTGAGCACCATTGTAAAGCAAAGGCATTTACCTTTTTTAATATAGGGCTTGAATTCTCAATATCGCTCCAGACCAACAAAAATCAAGTTTTTGAATCGGCACCCTAGGCTTGTTGCCAGATCAGACGATAAATCTCCAAAAAAATGTAAATAAAATACAAATCATTTGAAGCTTTTCAGATGGAAAATATCTCAATATTGAACAATTCCTTATTGTGACTCATTCTGACATCACGGTTTACAAATACATTTACAGATTCCATCTCCTGTCCTGAGGAGATGGTGGAACGAAATGACCCCTTTTGAACAGTAAACTTCCAGCAGAACCAGAACCAGGGAGGGCAGCCATCTGCCCCGACTGTCTGGGGTTGGAGACGAGTAAATGTACACCAGAGGAAAAAAAACAGATAATCATCTATAATTCATTATATTTGATTAATTCTCTGACTTTACTCCTCATATTTGAAACTTAGCAGCACATCTGTTCAGTCACATGGTTTATCTGATTTAGCTGCTGGATTTGAGCGGGGTGCTCTGCGGATGCACCGACAGGTACGCCGTACCACCCACCCAGCTAGCTGCTCTGTCACCCAGGCTGTGAATGGTGTGCAGCCCTGTCACCCTCAAATATAAGGAAACACTCGGTCCCATGTAGACAAGTCAAATGTCTCCTGGAGAACATTTTATAGTCAGAAAAAACTAAACAAGGGCATGCAAAGGTGACGTTTCTCTACTTATGTGCTCAATCAGGTCCGTTATTCCGAATAAATGAAACAAGAAACAAGAAATATATAGTTTATTTACATAAACATAAATTTTAGGTCTTTTTCAGGAAGGCACTTCATCAGATTAAGGTGGAAGAAAAAGGAGATTTCAGTAAGGTAAAAGGCACATTTCAAAAACACAACAGCATCTTCTATTCCCCAAAAGTGATTTAAAAGAAAGTCTTGTTATGAGCCTTAATGTAAAACTTAGGATCGGGTGTTAAGAAATATTTAAGAGTTTATGCTGTTATACAGCTAAAAGAAATAAACGATTTCCCACAAGGAAGCAAAAGCTTGAGATGAGCAACATTAAGTGTAACGAGATCTTTCTAGGACAGGAAACGTGAACCTGTAGACAAAATGTTGCAGAACAAAAAGGAAATAAAATCAGATTCTGGGAAAATAAACAGTGGAAGGACTAATCTAATGTAGCAAAACAAGGAATATTTGATTCAAGGTGGAGAAGTAATATTCTGATTAGTGTAACGAGACAAATTTCCCCTTGTTTAAAAAACAAAAATCAAATCTAAGAATGAATCCTACTGCATAGCAGAGAAAGAACTGTAAAAATATTGATGTTTGATCCTCCAGAGTGTGTTGGTCAACGGGCTATTCTTATTGTACGAAGTAAAAGCAGCTGTGAAGTCTTCTCTTTTTGTTTTTGTCACAATCGTCCTGTCCAGGGAATGTTTGGAACCTGAGTGTGAGTTTGTTTTCTTTGACTCAACTGAACTGCACCCATCCTGACTGGACAGCGTCTTTGTTGGAGCTGAGGAGGAGGAGAAGATGCGAGCGATGATGGAGCGAGACAACAGAGAGATGAAATGAGGCGTGACAACGTTTCATGAGTGGTGGGACTTACTTGGAGCCTGCAGATGTGAAATCTCCCCACAGGTCTGAGCTGGGCTGGGCCGCGGGGACCAGGGAGCCGAAGTCTAAAAGAGGAGCTGAGCAAAGAGAGAATATTAGATTTATGAGCTTTAAAATAGTTAACATCACATTCTAAGGACAGATCTTCCCATGGACCCTCTTCTATTTCTGCTGCTCAAGGATTTACTCACTAAAGATCAACATTACATATTGCACATTCTGTTGCTAGTGGCAACCATTAGCCTAAATGGGATTAAGCCCTGCTCACCAACTGTTGCTCAATGGATGCAAAAATGGAAACGTGATGGAACGTCTGACTGCCCAATTACAAATGAAAATGGATATTTTCTCACAAAGATGGTCAGGAGTGGACTGTCTATTCCAGGGGTGCCCACACTTTTTCAGCATGCGAGCTACTTTTAAAATGACCAAGTCAAAGTGATCTACCTACGATAAGGCCCCGTTTACACGAGAACAACCTCTGGAAACATTAGTGTTTTTTTCAATATTCATTGGGGGTAATAAACAAAAAAATGAGCCGGTTTATATGAAAAACACTGTAGTTTCCATGTCAGTCAGGTTGCCAGATAAGAAATTATGAACTATAGTTATGTGGCTTTAAAATGACAGTATTTTGACCTACGCCGTCATATGTGCTGAGTAAAGATATTCTAAGATGAGGTGTGTGTTGTGTTTGTTGAGCATGTGCACAGAAAAGGTGATAAATAAAACATTTTAAATTTATCCGACAACCCCGACCAGGCTCAGCCACATTCATTGTGCATGCAGCGTCTACATGAGCACAGTTACGTCCAAACTGGTGAATACACCAACGTCTCTTTGGACCCTGGATTTTATTAGTTTTGCTTTTACATGCTGAAAAAGGGTGCGAAGCACAAAAACCCTCTGCTCTCTGCCATTTATTGTAACCATTGTTAGTGCAGAAAAGTTTGACTGCAGACACCTGGGTGTGCGACTTCACACACGGAGAATTTCACACCTTGGGAGGGCGGAGGGTGTACCCCGAAAACCTGCACTCTGAGACCTGGTTTGAGAGAACGAGGGCTGTGACTGGCTGCCCTGTAGGTCAACAAAGTGATCAATTTCATAGTGAGGATGGATGATAGGCTAACGTCTATTTTTTTTAATGCCATGTGATCTACCCATAATGCCTTTGCGATCGACCGGTAGATCGCGATCGATGTATTGCGCACCCCTGGTCTATTCTAGTTGACTAATCTCTGTATGTTGGTTGATTCTGCATGTGTCTATTGTTTCTTTTGATATACGTTTATTGAGCCGAATTGCAACACTTTTTTGTTTTTCATTGTCTGTAAATTGCCTTTGGCGTTATATTTTGAGGCTTTAAAGTAAAAAAATAAAAAATTAGCATCATGGTGAATAAAAAGTGCGGCTCACCGGTGTTAATCTGTGCAGCTGAGACAAGCTGCTCTCCTCCAGGTGGCGGGAGGACGCTTCCTCCAGCCTTTGCTCCTGGAGGAGGAGGGAGCAGACCACCAGCTGCAGGTCGTGGTTTGGCACCTCCTGCATCCTTCTTCTTAATGTTCTGCGAAAAGTCACAACAGTTTTATATGTTTAAATCACCCAGTGACTGATTCATAGCGTGAAACAAATCAGCTCGGGTTACGTGGAGGTGACATGCTCACCCCGATGCTGATCTTAATGGTCTGTCCCTCCTTGAAGCTCAGGTCCAGTTTAGGCGCAGTGCTCTGAGAGGCCTCCTGCTTTGCCAGCTCACCTTCTTGCTTGACCCACCTTTGAAGTTCGACAGAATTTAAAAAAAAAAAGTCAGAAATAAGTTTGAATGGAGTCTGAACAAGTCGCTGCAGTATGAAAAGAAACATTTTGATGCAACAAATGATCCCAAACATTTGCAGGTTCAAAGCTTCAATGATACAATGACCCAAAAAACATATTTGCTTTTTTTTTTTTTAAATCAGACATGGGCTTTATTATATCTTATAAGTAAAAATAATAAATCCAAAAAGTTATCTTAACATACAATGACATTTATTTAGTTACATGTAACACAACCAAAGTATAAATATAAATACCGGTAAGTGGTAGTAATGGCATTAATAATATCCTCTAAAGTAGGGCTATTCAACTGGCAGCCCATGGGCCATTTCCAGTCCATGGGTGACTTCAATCCGGCCCACTAATGACTTTTTTTTTTTTTTTTGGGGGGGGGGGGGAGGGGGGGGGGGTGGGTGATTTTAATGGCGTGGTGGGGGGGAGGGGGGGAGTTTGCGTGGGGCGCGGCAC